ACTTCTAAGTGTATAAGCAGGTGCTTATTGTTAAGCAATAAGGAAGCACCTCTATTCAAGAAAGCACTTATGTATATTAAATACAGCATATTATGTATATTATGTAAGGCTTTCCTGAGAAATGACAAATCAAGCACATCTCAAAATTAAGCATCTGCTTTCCCCTATTTCTGAACCGACGTGGCATTTTTTCTCAATAATGAAAGGATTACGCACATTTTAAAGTATAATGGAGAATATGGCTCTTAAAACCTTATGATGAAGTGAGTGGTTGCTGAAGATGTTCTACAAATGTAACACTTGAACCTGACAAGAAAATTACGCAACCATGACTACATTTGGATGCACCAACTCAGATTAACTGCATGCTCTCCACACACACCAATGCCTGTTGATACTGGCAGCTATCTGTACAAATGAACTTCAGCAGTCAGATTGAAAGTGGGTGGTTTAAGCCTATTTTTGTCACAGCGAACGTTAAATACCTGGTCTCCCTTGCACCACTGGCTTCACCCCAGCTCTTCTACAAATGTACATCTTTCTGCACCAAGAAAAAGGGAATGAGGACACCTCATCTCTAATCTTGCTGTCTGAATAAATGTGTGAAAAAAGGCAGGATTGATACCATGAAATAATCTGCAGCTGATGTCTGAAATTGCCCCTTAGTTCCTGGGGATGGAGGGGGGAAGAGGGAAGAAGGGACAAGGGACTTTCCTCCCTTCCTGCTTAAGTTGTGTATAAAAGCACAGGAAAAAAAAAAAAAAGGAAAGAAAGAAAAAATATCCCCACGATTAACTAGGCCAAAGATGGACTGCCAAAGGGTAACTCTGCATCTCACTGGGGCCCAGGTCCCAGTCTCCCACCTCTTTATTTACTTTAACCAGTGCCTCCTGCACTCTGGAACAATCCAGGAACTTCAAGCACCAGAAAAATCTATGATTTATGTGATGTCTTTTCCTCTCCACATTTGTCAGTAAATGCATATTTGTTTTAGGGTAAAAAAGCAGGTTTTTAACTGAACTCAGCTTCCCCTTCCTCCCACTCCTGCGTGATTATTACACTTCTTGGGTGGTTAAATTCATGCATCCTTTAGTTTCATGTCTTGTAATACTTCCTGAGGCATGTAACAACCACCCAAAAATACTCTGCTGGTGGTACTTTCTTATTTAGTTGTAATCTTTGTGCAAAATTTTGGCCTCCATAAAGTCAGCAGAAGTTTTGCTCTCAACAAGAACGGGGCAGGGCTTCACACTTCATGTTTCTAAAATACTTCAATTTCGGTTCCTTTACTATTTCTATTTTATACTACTATGGCTAAAATTGCAAACTGTGATAACAAGTGATGTAAAATATTTTGTATGACCAAAATTTCAACATAAATCAAGCCAAGGAACAAAAATAAACATTCCTATCTTCTGCCATGCATACAATAAAGTCTAGCTTAGAAAAGCTATCAAATCACAACTAACATGATACTTCTTAGCCTTCATTAGGCAAAGGCAAGTGTCTGTATGTATTTTCCTATCCCTAAAAGAGTCTACTTCTTCTCCATGTTCAACTGAAGTTTTAGTTGAGATCTTTTTGATAGTACCAAAAAGGAAGTTCTTTTAACCACAGCTCAATAATAAGGTGAATGGAAAAACAGTTGGTTTCCTCCTGCTTCAACTGTTTACCTTGATCTGTTTTAAGCAAAGAGAAGAGAAAGAGAGAGAGTCTGTATATATTTTTCATTATGAAACAACCGCAAGCTAAATTAAAAAAAAAAAACAAACCTGTAAAATACTGTTTTGTTTTCACGATTGAACTTCTGCAGTTCTGATTTTTCTAAGTAATTCTGCTTGCACTTCAGAACAAGAGACTGGAGAACTTTAACTTGCCGTCTAAAATACATGCTAAAGGACCACTTAATACATAATCATAAAGTGGAGACCTAAAGGAAAATCATTGTAAACAACCAAAACTAAGGCAAGCTATAAACTGTTCTGTGAGAAACAAAGAAACATTAATAACTACAGTTATGTGTCAGTGAAATAAAATTTGACATGATCTAGTAGGACTGAAACCTGGCTGATAATTCACATGACTGAAACTTATCAGTAAAACCTAAGTAGGAAAGACAGCCAGGAGGAGCAAGAATGTTGGACTCCACATTAAAGGTATCATTTACATACTTAAGAACTACAGCCTAATTCAGCATAGTTGTATCTGATTGACAACAATATCAGGTTGTTTATAGCTGCCAACACAGATGAGAAAACAGAAGGAGCAGGCATCTAAAAATTACATAGAAATACATGTAAATATGTAGAAAATCACACAGGTTTCTGAAGACATAAGCTGGTAGACTTCTGATGCTACTGATAATGTATTTTTGAAATGTCTAAAATTACACATCTATTCCCAACATAAAAAGCAAATCAAGCAACTTTAAATCATTCTGTACTAGATCTCAGTGTGATAGATAAAAATAACCTGATCATTCCCTAAAACTGGCAACTGCCTATGTTAGAGCTTTCACAAATGAATTTCAATTACAATGTGCAAGTATGACATAGATTTTTTTCTCTGTAAAAAGTCAGTGTTCCCAAATAATTTTAAAGACATTTACAAATAAAACTGAGCAAAGTAGATATTTTAATCCAAAAGAAAACTGAAAATCAAACTATAAAAACTGCACTATTCTGCAGTCATGAAAATAGGATTTTTTTTGGTGAAAAACCATCCAAACTGAGAGGAAAAGTAGTTGGAACAATTTTTTCTTTCATACATGCCAAAAGTGAAAATGTGGAAGTTTACAGAAATGCAAATCAGCAGTTTAGAAATGCAGACCATTGATCATGGAAGCCAATAGGCTGAAGAAAAAAAATAATTTCTGGTATGGGCAAATAGCGTCATTAACCAATGAAATCTGGGCAATGGCAAACCTCTGGTCCCAGAAGTGGATAATGACATTAACAATTGTGATACAAAAGATAAGTGAATCTAATACATATTTCAGAAAGTCATATATTAATTATTTGCAGTAATAATCAAACAATTTGCAACAACAATCAACAAATCAAAGATTTCTAACTATGTAGGATACTAAACAGCTAAAGCAAAGTGAAGTAAAACATGTAATATCACTGGGTCAGAGAGCTTATACCCAAGGGTTCAGAAAGAATTGGCTCAGGAGACCTTGAAGTCATTCCCTGACTTATTTTTTAACTAGATTTTGAAACACTGGAGAAGTTCTGCTGGGCTGGAGACAAAATCATAATACATCAATATTTCAGAAGCATAAATAGGATAAGATCAGACAAAACTGATGTTAGCCTGAATCTGAAATCATCAAAGCCTATTAAATTATGCAACAATAAATAGTAAAAGGGCAGGTGAACTAATGGCATTGAATTTTATTTTACAGGAAAAGGGTCTTCCCAAAAAATTCTATTTTTTTTCATGACTCCACAAGCCTGACTAGAAAGGACTGAATTGACATAATATAATTGTATTTCTTGTACCATTTAGATTTCAGTCCACATTTTTTAAAATAGTGTACAAACTCAGTATAACCCACAATATACAGCAAAACCTTACTAACTGACAGACCACTAAAAATAACCGCAATTGCGGAAATATCATTCAGAGAAATGCTTCAAGCCATGAAGTTCTTAACCTGATGCTATGCAGTATCTCTATCGCTCACCCAGTTAAAACTTGGAGGAAATGTAAGGAGCTGATGAAGTCATAAATCGCAAAAGGGGAAGATGAGCTATAGAAAAGCATCTGGGAGGTGTACTCATCTGAACTCCATCTGAACATGGGTTTGTACTTGTCACTTTCATAAATGAACAACGGCAGACTGGAAAACAATTGCAATGTAAAGTGACCTGCACATAAACTGACAAAGTACCTTTGGTAAGAACCAAGTAGTCAAGAGCAAGTGAATGCTCTACTGTAAGCAAGGGAGTAAAGAATGCTAGCAGTTCTACAAGTCACCACTAAGACCCAGTACTGGAATCTCCTGTCCAATTCTGACATTTTACACTCCAATTAATATCCTGAAGCATCAAGAAACAATCAGGGGCCAAAGGAATGATTCAGAGTGTTAGTCTACATAACTCCCATTTTCAGTTACTTACCAAAAATAAGGTTATGAGATGCTTTCAACACAAACTGCAAATATCAACTCATACCTGTGCTACTGAGGAGTTTTTATCAATGAACAGAGAAAGAGTAAAACTTGAACATTTGTAACAGGTAATCCATCCCAAACAGAAAACACACATATTTGACTGAGAAGAACATCTCATGGAAGCAACTTACATAAGAACGAGGTATTTTCCATAAATAGAATCTTTAAATTAATACTATATGAACAAAGCAGAAATTCTGATGTGTGGTTGTTTTCTAGGCCTCTGTGTGCACTTCAGTTCAGTCTATGTATGAGAACAGCACCTTATAATACTAAAATTCTACGTCTAACATATTAAAGTTACCAATAAAAGCTGTTCTATTACCCAGGATGATATACAGCAGCTCATCTGTACTGCTGAGACTAACAAATTCAAGATGACAGGAGTTTTATCAGATAGACAAAACCTTAGCCACGGTTAGAAAGCCAAGTGTTTAAAAGTTGCAATTGGCATCCTTTGAGTGTGCACATAAAAGCCCTGCTATTATTTAGCAATGAGTCATCTTAAGAAGTTCTAATATCTGCCTTTCCCTTGCAAGCATATGTAGGGAGGAAATCAGTAAATCTAGTAAGTGCCTAATTTAAAAACATATGCCATCATAGAGGAGATAAATATATGACCACTCACAATGCCTCAGTCCTTTAACTGTTTGCTCAAAACTAATGGCAATACATGTCTCAAATGATCTCCAACCTCTCTGATTGATGCAGAGCTAAGTGCACGTAGATGGTTCTTGACTAATTACCATCAAACCTATTCTAAAGGAAAATGCCCTCCAATGACAGTTATCACAATATTTCTTAGCATCCTATTCCAGCATTTTATCTCAATCCCTTTTAGAAGCTGAGTGGCTTTAACTCTCATTTTCATGAGTGAATATTTTAGATCTTTCATTCCTGTGGCCTTCTTTTTCTGGATTGTGGCAAGTTTGTCTTCATCCTTCCCTGTACTCAAGATGTGTATGGAGTGCTAACTACAGTTACACAGATTTGATGGGAAACACCTTAAGAATTATAGAAATATATGGAGTCTTGAATTCTCAAAAGAAAATTAACATTTACTAAAGTCTGCTGGCACTGGACACTTAATTTGGAAATCAAGGGTATATGAAGTTGGGTCTCAAGAAGTAGTAAAAATATTCCTTTTGGGGTCAAGTCCCTGAACTCCATCCGGTCTCAGAAAGAAACAGAGTGCAAAGAAGCAATTTATCTGTAGAGCAGTTGGCTAAATTGCTTCAGCTGTTGAGTAGAGCTAATAGCAGCTTACACTATAAAGCATACAACATATGCTAACCTCACCAAAAATCTCCTAAAGCTTTGACAAGGCCAGTTCACAAGGTCCTCTGTTCATTCAAACTTTAAGTACAAAATACACTCAGGACAATTATAAGGCCAATATTGGGAACAGTCTTTTACATAGGTTCACAAGATAAAAGAGTCTTTTAAGAAGGTAATTGCTATGCTGTCACTGTGAGCAGGCAAAAAAGTCAGAGAAAATGTCCAGTTTACAAGGCTGAGAAACAAAGGTTTTAGTCCTGGACAACTAACAGATCTAATGTTAATTGTTTTGCTTCATGCAGGCAATAAATAAATAATAAAACAGTCATGCATGGACTGAGTAACTGTCAATTCCCTCCTAAGAAAAGCGTTGCACAACTACAGAAAAACCATGAAAATCAATGCTTCTGAACAATCTAGAGCTGGATACAATACCCAAGATCCCTCTTCAAAACACAAGTGGCATCAGGAAAAGGTGCTCTCTTCCAAGAACAATTTCACAGTACTTAGTACTGAGAAAGACAATGGTTTACTCAGCACTAAAAAATGAGCCCTTCTGAATGTAAGAATAAGTATCATTTTAGGCACTAGGGAACTAATTTTCAAGAGTATGTTGAAAAGTGCTTTGAAAATGGCAGCACTGTTGAGCAGGGTCCCAGCTTAGGCACGAGGCCAAAGTTTTAGTGGACAGGATTTAATGCATCCATCCTATGTAGACCTCCATCCTATGTAGACCTCCATCCTACTCTGGGCTGAAACCATGTGGTGAAAATGTTTAAGAGATGTTATTTTACACCACAGATGTCAAAGAACTTGATATCAGGGAAAATCCTGTGCACTTATCTGAAGAATGTATTATTGCAGTGCTCCAATTCATCTGGTTTCTGTTGCTCCCTTAGCATATTCTTATTTGTGAGGCCACAAACATACTTCTTATTAGAGCTAAAACCATTCTAGGATTTAAGCACTGCAATATCTCAAACGATTCCAATTTCCTTCAGATTCTGAAATAAGAAACAAAACAGCTTTAATATTTATATTTTCAAAAGGATGATGACGACTTTGGAATTTTCAGTTAAGAAGCTGCCTTGAGACTGTTACAACAGCATGGGAAAACAGAAAAATTGCACAATCCTGACCTTTTAAGATGCTCTTTAATATATCATGTAAAAAAAAAGTACAGTATTAAATAAGAAATTTGTTAGCTTTCAGCACAGAGGCAGGTTTATTAGCAAACAACTAAGTGGAACAAAAAATCTATAACCCTGATCTTATTGAAATAATTACAGAATCTTTAATGTCCCAGTAGGCATATACAGAGAAAAAGATGGAGCACAGAGAAAGAGCACAGTAATGAAAACAGACAGAAATAGGCCATTCATCCTACCTCTTACTTAGTGCATACAAACGACTGTCAAAAGTAGAAGACAACACAAAAATGATTACTGACCAAAAAACAGTCTTTTTTTTTATTACTAAATTTAAGGAATCTGTGGGACAAAATTTAAATGAAAATTCACACTCCCAACAAGTAAATATTTTTTTCATTTATCTGTATGTATAATTGGCACTTTTTTAAAAAACCGTGTAACATTGCAAAGTCAATAATAAATCTATGTGAAGAGTATTTACTTAAATTCAGAAGAATGTCACTATTTAACTATTCTGTATGTTGTCCATCTTATATCCAGTGCAAATTTAAAATACACATGAATAAAGTTTTCAGAATTTAATCAGACGAAAACACATAGCTATATTCAAATATCACACTGATGGCAACAGATCAGATATTTGGGTAGCTACAGTAGGCAGAAGAATATGGTGATCCTGTAGCAAACTTATCTTTTGCATTTCCTTTAAAATTTATTTGGCCTTGAGTACAAAACTTAATGGCACAGAAGAACTTTGTCACAAGCAAAAGCAATGAGGACCATGCTGCTGTGCTTCCTTGGAGCAGACTAGAAAGCAGCATGTGGTTTCTCCACCTTCTCTCCTCTGCCCCTGGGATGGACTGAGAGAAGTGGGGTTGTTCGGGCTGGAGACAGGAAGGCTCTGGGGACATTTTGCAGCCTTTCAATATATAATAACATATGGTTTAATTAAAACTATTTAATATCTTTATTGATGATCTGGATGAGGGGATTTAGACTACCATTAGCAAATTCATGAATGACATCAAGTTGTGTCAGAGCGTCGATTTGTGGGAGTGTAGGAAGGCTCTGCAGAGGGATCTGGACAGGCTGGATAGAAGGGCCTATACAAACAGCATGAGGTTCAACAAGACCAAGTGCTGAGACCTACACTTTGGCCACAATAACCCTATGCAGTTACAGGCTGGGGACAGAGTGGCTGGAAAGCATCCCAGTGAAAAAGGACCTGGGAGTGCTGCTCGACAGTGGCTGAACATGAGCTAGCAGTGTGCCCAGGTGGCCAAGAAGGTCAATGGCATCCTGGCCTGTATCAGAAATAGTGTGGCCAGCAGGACTAGGGCAGTGATCCTTACCCTGTGGTAGGCACTGGTGAGAGGGCATACCTCGAGTGCTGTGTCCAGTTCTGGGCCCCTCAATTCAGGAAGGAAATTGAGGTGCTGGAGTGAGTCCAGAGAAGGGTAATGAATCTGGTGAAGGGTCTGGAGTGGAAGTCCTGTGAGGATGAAGGTGGGGTTGTTTAGCCAGGAGAAGAAAAGAGGTTTTATTCAGGTGGGGGTTGGCCTCTTCTCCCAGGCAATTAGCGACAGGATGAGAGGACACAGTCTTAAGCTGCACCAGGGGAGGTTTAGGTTGGACATTAGGAGGACATTTCTTCATAGAAAGGGTGATTAGACATTGGAATGGACTGCCCATGGAAGTGGTGGAGTCACCATTCCTGGAGGTGTTGGAGTCACCATTCCTGGAGGTGTTTCAGGAAAGACTGGATGTGGCACTTAGTGCCATGGTCTGGTTGACATGGTAGTGTTCAGTCATAGATAGGACTTGATTATCTTAGAGGTCTTTTCCAGCCTAATTGATTCTATGATTCTGTGATAAGGGGGCTTATAAGATAGATGGAGAGAGACTTTTTACCAGGGCCTGTAATACCAGGAGAAGGGGCAACAATTTTAAACTGAGAGAGGGTAGATTTGGACTGGATATAAGGAAGAAATTCTTCACTGCAGGAATGGTAAGGCACTGGAACACGTTGCCCAGAGAAGCTGTGGATGCCCCATCCCTAGCAGTGGTCAAGGACAGGTTGGATGGGGCTCTGAGCAACCTGGTCTAGTGGAAGGTTCCCTGGAAGGTTCATGACAGGGGGGTTGGAACTAGATGATTTTTAAAGGTCCCTTCCAACCCAAACTATTCTATGATTCTATGATTCCTGTAGAGCTGAGTAAGATGTAACTGTTGTGGGTACAGACAGGAACTGCTTCTCTTTAAGAAAGCCAAGATTCAGCCTGTCCTTGCCCCTCCCTTTCACTTGAACATGGAGGGGCCATGGAGGCTTTGTACAAATTACTTACCACTCGCTGCAAAATACACAATGAGCTTTTGGTCTAAAGAACAGGAAGCCACCTTCTTCATTCTTCTTTTCTTCCAGGAAAAACAAGATACTATGCAACCCTAAAATAAACTAGTTATTTCCCCTTTCCTATCTCCCTCTACTAAAATTGGTTTTCTTTTAATCAAACAACCTCAACAATGCTTTGACATTAACCTATGGTGAGCCTTTTTCACCTTCACAAGGAAATGTAAAATGTATTTCACTGAAGTGAACGAGATAAAGGTAAGTTATGTTTCACACCACACTGCCAGCTGTGGGCACCCACTGAAAACTATTGAAAGCAACTCCCAGTTTACAGAACTCAGATTCCTACATGTCATTATAACAGAAATATCTTCCCAACAGATAGGGAGAGTAAGTAATATTGTGAGGGAAAGGCTAATTATATAGAATACGTCACAGCATGATGTAATTGTAAAAACACTTCAGAAACACTACAATCTTTGATTTACATCTTCCACATTTCATGCATAGTAGTATCCATTCCCTTCCCTTCAGTTGAGAGGAAATACTAACAATCTCACACATAAAAGGAGGCCAAGAAATATTTTCAGGACAGCTGCCATTCCCTTAACTTTTCCTGGAGAGAAGAAAGTATGTCACATTACAGTCATAGTGGGAATAAAGAAATTTTAATTGTGACATAATTTTGCAAAGGAAAGGGCTTCTACAGGCTGCGATAACAACATCCCAGAGATATTTTTTTAGTTGTTGTTCTGCACAGTAAGTAAAGCTGCAACTCCCGAAGGAGGTTTCTGCCTATGCCAAATGCCAGTTTCAAAGTCCAGCCCTGAATGCTTTAATATTTTTAAGCAAAAGCACTTTACTTTTCAAAAAAAGTTCAACTTCCTTTATGTATTGCAAATTTAAATGGTAACGCTATTGTCTAGAGATTAAGAACTGTTACTTTATAGAAAAAAGAGGGATTTTTTTAAGATCATTCTGAGTGAGGTTAGTGTTCTAGAGGCTCATATCCTGCTGTTGCAGGAACTACCGTACTTCCTGTGAGCTACCAGAGCCATAACCACTTCTCTTGTCCTTATGTAATTGCTGTCCAGGTTGTCATTTTACTGAGGCTCCTTTCCCCTGCTCTGGCTGTGCAGCAGCATTCCAAGGTAGGTATATATCCAACAGTCTTAGCCTGTTCATACTTTGCTTCTGCAGGGCATAAACTGCCCCTCCCTGTAGGGAAAAACTGAGGTAACTGAGTCACACCACATCTTGGCAGGAGAAAGAGGGGGAGAAAAGTGGTTTGCTATTTATTGTGAAATGCCAAAAAAAAAAAAAAAGTAGCATAAGTTACTTATTTGGAGATGATACCACAATGCTGAATGGGAAACGAACATTATATTTAACCTAGCTACATGACAACTTAAAATTAACTTTTCCTTATTTATGGTGATATTGCAAATCTTAATGTTCTCTGCAGACGTTTTTAAATTTATATTAGTGATCAGAACAAGTTTTCACTACGAAATTTTTTTCTGAGCCCTTTAGCAGAAATGAAATGTTAATATTACAAGCTAGAATTAGAATATTGTATGTATTCTGAAGCTTCTTACTACTTATTAACATTATTTTTAAGGTATATATTCCCCTTCTTTTGACTGTGAGGGCACAAACTAGTACAAACACATAGAGAAATGCTTGAAATTCATTATGCAGCTTCTCAACTACTCACCATACTCCCATTAAAAATGGATAACAGTGTTCTTACAAACGGTCAATATTGTGCACTTTGATTTTACAAAGAAAATGCTTTGCTGAATGTTTTAGACATTTATCTGTGGTGCAGAAGGGCAGCAGAATTTCTTCTGTGCTCCTTCATTGTTTCTATTTGGAAGACAGTCCAGTCTCCAGATATGCATTAACAACAAAGCAAATATTTACATGTCAATACAGGCTTACCTTACTCTAGTCTAGGAGGTTCTGTTCAAACCTGATCAGGGACAATCATCTGCCAGGGAACAGGATTTTAAAGTGGTGGTGAATGCTCCACAGAAGCATAAACTGAACCCACACCTGGTTCCCATACCACACTCCCTCTCCAGACACAATTGCTTACTTCAGGCTGCACCATCCACCCTAGGACACAGCAGCAAGGACAGTCTACCACATCACGGGCCCCCTTTCCTTATCCTGCACTTTGCAGGGTGCAAGCCTCCAACAGTGTGCTCTATAATCATTGCCCCACAATTAATCATACACAGTTTAGTAAGTTTCAGGCCATCTCCTGCACACCCAAACCATATGCCTCTTTAGATAGGAAAGTCTCAGAAGCATCAGCACCAAATAAATTGCTATAAACTATTACTTTTTCCCAATAAAGACTGGGACTTATTATGGATAAACCTTTTTGATTTTCTGACCTCTCAGAAAACTACTGCAGCTCATAAGCCATCACCCAAAACTAACAAAGCAGATGGGCTGGTTTCGGCTGGGGTAGAGTTAATATTCTTCACAGTGGTTGGTATGGGGCTGCGTTTTGGATTTGTGCGGAACATAGGCTGATAATATAGAGATGTTTTTGTTATTGCTGAGTATGGCTTACACAGAGCCAAAGCCTTTTCTGTTTTTCATAGTGCCACGCTGGTGAGGAGGCTGAGGATGCATGGGAGGTTGGGAGGAGACACAGCTGGGACAGCTTCCCCCAGCTGACCAAAGGGATATTCCATATCATATGACATCATGCTCAGTACATAAAGCTGTAGAAAGAAGGAAGAAGAGGGGGGACGTTTGGAGTGATGGTGTTTGGCAACCCAAGTAACTGTTATGCATGATGGGGCCCTGCTCTCCTGGAGATGGCTGAACACCTGCCTGCCCATGGGAAGCTGTGAATTAATTCCTCATTTTGCTTTGCTTGTGTGCAAGGCTTTTGCTTTACCTATTAAACTTTCTTTATCTGAACCTATCACTTTTTTGGCTTTTACCCTTCCGATTCTCTCCCCGAGCCTGCTCATGGGAGAGTGAGAGAGCGGCTGCGTGGGGCTTGGTGTCTGGCTGGGGTTAAACCACAACAGCAGGCAAGAGTTAGTAAGGTTTTCCTGATTTGCCTATGATCCGTCTAGTTTCATTCTGTCATTTAACATTGTGTCTGCAAGAGCAAATACAATCAAGACACAGCTACCCATCATGAAAAGTGTAGGTGAAGCCTGAACTTTCATGTCCAGCTGTAACTCCACTGATTTTAGCACATCTACTCCAGAATTAGGGTGGAAGGCTGCCACATGCTATACTGCCCACCTGGAGCTCACTAAGCGACAGATTCCAGCTCTTCATTCAGACAGCATGCCTGTGTGAATGCAGTGATGTACCTGCAGCTGCCTCTTCTGCCAGCTGGGCACCTGCAGGTCTTCTCTGGGGCAGCCTAGTGCTCCCTGTGACTACCCTTTCTCTCCCTCACCTGCTGAACCAGGATGAGGAAAAGCACAGTGACTGTGTGGCAGTCAAGAGCTAAACCTTAATACTAGATATCTCATGCACCTGACAGTGTATTTAGGGCAAGCTAGGTCAGGCCAAGGATCAGCAACTGAAACCCAGATGATCACCCCAGCCTAGACTGTGGTCTTGCTTACCAAACTCTTCTCACCAGACACTTGGCCGAACTGTGCACTGACTCCTTCCTGTGTGACGGCAGCACATGAGACCAAAGGGTGAGCTCCCCACACTTGGTCTCAGATGGAGTTGGGTCCAGCCCCAGCACACAAGCAGCTCTTAGAGTTGGAATTGTTTACAGATCCTCCCAGTTGAGACACCGCCTTTGTGGACCAGGTTCCTAACCATCAAACACGGATGGGTGAAACAACTAATTACTTTTTATTACTTTGGCTCCCAGTACACACTAAATCAGTCATAAAATCATGTGTAGCCTGTTCTGAGATTTGACAGCTACTAACTACACAGTTTCAAGTTGATTGCTACCAATTCAGAGCTTCTCAGAAACAAACATGGACAACCTGCAGATAGAGAGATTCACACATTTGGAAGAAGTGCCTTCAAAACTAGAAGTTTGAAAAGAGAGTGCTCCTGTTAAAGTACTATAAAAAGATATTATGGAATTAAGAAAAAAAAAAGTAGAAATATTGTTTGGCAAATTATAGCACAAATTCTGAAAGCAAAAAGTTGCTGAAGGTATGTAAGCCTATATGTAAATAAGTGTGTGTATATATGAGTATAGATACAATATGAATGACAGATTGGAGCATCTGATCTACATACCAAAAAAATTTTGAGCAGATTGTTAATTTATTTTAGGCTGCATAGTAACACTTCTAAAATACACTAATCACAACAGTGTAAATACTTTTTAAGACTGGTGTAACATATGTATTTAGCTGATTTCATGTTTTTAGGGATTAAAAATGAAGATATCAAAACTTTTTTATCATCTGATGTGCTATCATCCATGAAAAAAACCTGGATGCCATCAGGAAATTCAAGCATCCTTGGCAAAACAAAAATTATATATGTATTCTTGAAATATGAGATATTTACATTGCATTGTCTAACTGACATGTTATCCTTAAATCAACTCTACATACTATTTTAATCATGTAATTGTCAACTGTGAAAAAAAGATAGTGAGAAATGATATTTTGAGGATAAATAGCTTGATCACGATTAAGGACTGTGCTACACACGCCGTGGGTTTATTTTGTTGGCAGGAAAAACATGTCAAGGATCATGCAGTTCATTTAAGTCCAGTGGAAAACATTTGCTTTGAGTTTTAGCTTTATTTAACTTGAAACACCATTGTAAATTTGGGGGTAATTAAAAAAGCATTGCTAAATTCTACAGAAACTCAGTCCACCTGCTTCTGGTAAAAGCTCCACTTCTTTCTAAAGATTCCTTTTGAGACATGGGGTGATTTATTAATTTCCAGATACTAAAACACTCACATGGACCCTCACCCTCATCTTTGATATTATATGCTCTTTCCCCTCAGACTTTCCAAGCTAGGTCTCCACTGCTGCTTAAAAAAATCCGAGAAAAGCTGCTCTGAGGGCTGGAACCTCAGGAATCAAGTTTTTATAAAGGTACTTACACAGGTTTCAGAACAGAGATCCAATTGTGAAAATGACTACTCAATGCATGCCTAACAATAAGAGAGTTTAGGTGACTATTTTCTGTTAATACCTTATTGCTAAGATATGTAGTACTTCATCTCTGAACACACCCAGAGGTTCTCAAATTTCATAAAGGAGAACACTTACCTGATAATTCATACGTAGCTCCAAGAATTCAAAAATCAACAGTCCCTCTGCTTAACACATTGCATGACTTCATTTTTTCTGGGAATAAGCCAAGCACAATTTTTGTATGAGGAAAAAACACTACTAAGGTGCCATTCTTTATTTGTTTATTTGCACACAGTTATTAATGAGCACCTGTATTTGACAGGAGATATGACCTTACTACACTAGTCAGTTGCACAGAACCAACGATTACAAATAACCAACGATTACAAATATCCTCTCTTGTCATTTGAACTCAAGAAGGAGTTAATTTTTGCTATCATTTTCTGAAAGATCAGAAATAGCCTAAAAAGGAAAAGGCTTTCCTAGATGCCACAGGTTCTGCCTAATTTATGTACCTGCTGCACGTACAATAGACTAGGGAAAGAAATCTGCAAAATCTTTCATCCTTTCAGGTTCAGCTGGGTCTTGCCTAAGTTTCAAAGAGCTTATTCACATCCAAGGTCCAAATGCAACCTGGCTACCACCATGCCTAGTGCTTCTTTGCCAGAGACAGCCCTGAAAGCCGTATGGAAATGTACATAAGAGAGAGGCCCTGGAAAACCAAAACTGAAATATGAAGCCCATCTTAACACAATTCCTTAAACTGAAAATTATTAGGCACAGGATTACATTTGTTGGCAAGACAGGCTTTAATGAAAAACTGCTGTTCAATTAATGTATTTCACTATCCCAAAAATCTTCCCCTAAAGTAAAGTATCACTAGAAAGAACTATAAAACCAAAATACATCATATTATTCTATGTAACCATTGATTTGAGGAAAATATCAATAAACCCTGTAAAGTGAGTATTTGATTTTGAGATAACAACAATAATTTTGTATTTAAAGAAGCAAGACTGATGTTCCAATTCTTTGAGAAAATATTTTGATAATCAAATTAACTAATGATATGAATATAAAACATCATTCAATTTTCACAGCCAAGCAAATAATCTGTATCAATGATTTGGAACAGTGATTCATATTCGTATGGGTTTTTTTAACTAGTAGAGATATTGAACATTGTCATATTTATTTCATTAGATTATTTTATGTTGTTTACGAAGATTGAATTTAATAAGGAAATTAGAACTATATAACAAAAAAATCTGCTTTTAATAAAAATAAATCATCTAATTATTCATTTTTAAACGCATCTATTCTAAGCTTTAATCTTCTCAAATTTATGCTTAGGAAATGAAACTGAGTATTGAAAAAGATGAGTATACAGGTTTGTTGTAGTTTGACTCCAGCTAGCAACTGAGTGCCACTACACTACTACCACTCAGCCACTCATTCACGCCCCTTCCCTCCCAGTAGGACACGGAGGAGAATCAGAGAAGGGTAGAACTCGTGGGTTGAGATAAGAACAGTTTAATAATTGAAACAAAGTATAATAATAATAATGCTAATCCCACTATTAATAATAATTTTAATGAAAAGGGAGATAATAAAAAAAAGAAGGATAAAACTCAAGAAAAACACATAATGCTCAATACAGTTGTTCACCACCTGCTGATCAATGCTCAACCCACTGGCCCCTTCCAGGCAACTCCCCTTAGTTTATATGCTGAGCATGATGTTCCGTGGTATGGAATATCCCTTTGGCCAGTTTGGGTCAGCTGTCCTGGCCGTGCTCCCTTCTGGCTTCTTACGCACCTGCTCAGTGGCAGAGCATGGGAACCTGAAAAGTCCTTGACTTAGGGTAAGCACTGCTTAGCAACAGCTAAACATCAGTGTGTTATCAACATTATTCGCATACTAAATCCAAAACACAGCACTGTACGAGCTACCAGGAAGAAAATGAACTCTATCCCAGCCAAACCCAGGACAAGGTCCCTTTGTGAAACTCCAGATTTCAACTGAACTCAAGGATAAAATTCAGGAAAAAAACCAATGTTTTGAGTGATTAAATCAAAATTAATATCTTTTAAAGTTCTGTCTACAGTTCAAAAGTCCCACCCACGGACAGGCATCTGATTTTTTCTTCTGAGTACATTTAAGTTAATGGTGTGGCTATACCAGCTTTTTGTATCACACCCTGCAGTAGAGCTTTCCAAAGCAGAAGTCATTATGTACAAAGGCAAATTGGATATGACATCCAAAATGACCATTGTAAATGCAAAAATTTCTGTTCTCTTTCCTAACAGTTACAGCCCTTAACCAGGAAGGAGTCTTGGGCTCTGTCCCCTTACCTGAAAGTATGTTTGTTCTCCCTAAAATTGAATTAATGAGTAAAATATGCCTAGACTGTAAACCCTGAGCAGCCTTAGGTAGGAACAATTTGAGGTTTCCACAGAAATAGCTGCTTTAATGGCTACGAGCAGCACAAGAACTGAGCATCTCCCTGTGTGGGTATTTTCAGATGCTAAAGATGTGAAGTGGTTGGGTGTCAATTCAGGCATTCTTAAAGAAAAAATTAGTTACTTTAAGTCTCTGCATGACTGTAGGCACGAACATCGTACAGAACATATAATCTAGCATTTTTACTCTAGTAAGCCAAATCAATTCAGTTATTTCAGGCGTGGTGCAAACAATGAAGAAAGTCCTGGACCTGAAGATCTACGCTGTCTGTGAAGACCAACCACAAAGAGTTGGTGTTGGAAATTATCAAAAGAGTTGAGGGAGAGCAAAGGGCACTAGTGACAATCATTGATTACATAAATTATCTGCATATATAATGCACATGTTCTTGTTTGTACATATATAGGATTTATTGTGATAATAATCTGCATCAAACAAAACCAAGCCATCTAGAGTCC